TTGATGTGATTTGAAATCGATGGAAATTGCAAGACGTTTTTGTTAAAACAATAAAAACATGCAACTTTCGAAAAATGAGGTTCTAAATGAGCAAATGTATTTATTCTACTTAACTCCAGGAACACCCTCTCTATTGCACACAAGGATTCGTACTCGTAGTAAAAATTTGCACGTATTTTCAATTCACCGCTTTTCGAGGGGTCAGTGGCAAGTGAAATATGCTAATGTGTCGCAGCATACTTCCGATAGTTGCTGTGGTCTATACACATGGGCCAGCTCTCTGTCACTTTAAAGAACTACGCAATGACTCCTTCATTCTCTAGCATATTCTGAAGTATTAACGCAAACCAAATACTTTGAAATTTCGACTTTTGTCCAGCTTTTTCGGAATTCCGACCACTGTGCCTTGGTACGAACATTAGTGGACGATATTATTTTGGACAGTTGTACGGTAAAAGTATTATTACTAAGTAGATGGTGTGGTGTGTACGATCTTATTAAAAAAAAGAAACGTATTAAGAGAGAATACTATCGGCTTTTCGATGAATTAAAAAAATATCCAGATCGCTTTTTTGAGTATATGAGGATGGACTTAACGACATATAATTATATAAATTAGTGCTCATTTAAACAAAAATTGGACCAATTTTAATTAAATGCCCGTTGAACCCGAGGAATGATTAGACATTTTTTTAAGAAAACATTCGCTCAATCGATTTCTCTGCATCTTAAATACCAAGTAGAAAATATCGCTTCGATAGCACATACAGGGCGTTTGTTATGGAAATTACCATTTCTAATAAATTATAATTTTTTAATGTCCTGTATAGGTAGCTATACATCTTTATTGCAAACTAGTTGAAATGTATTTGCTTTTACATAATGGAAAGAGTCTAATAATATGTGCTCTTTATTTCAGAAAGGATGAAAATAATAACAATCGTTAATGCAGAAAAGCCGTCGTCGTTCCGTTCTGCAATTTTGATTTCTTATTTATCCTTAATCACATCGAACATGGGATAATATATTATAAAAATAAATAGCTTAAGGTGCAGTAGTAATAATTATATAGGCATAGGGGGCATTAATAAAATTAAAATTTATTAGAAATTGTGACAAACGCTCTTATATTTCTTAATTTTAGATTTGGGATGCGTAGAAATCGATTAAGCTATTAACCGTTTTCTTACAAAAAAATGCCTGATTCGATTTTGTCATTTTTCACAGTTTTTCAAACACAGTGAAGATAGATTCCCTTCAAGTACTACATATTAAAAAAAAAATGAATCGGTAAATATAGTCTAAAATACGAGTTTCAAATTGGAACGCAATGTATACATAAAATATATGAAATAGATTTGGAAGTATATTATGCTGATTATTTGTCAACATTTTGTTTGATTCCTTGCAAAACCTATACTAATATTATAAAGAGGAAAGATTTGTATTTTTGTATGTGTGTATGTTTGTTACGAATAAACTCAAAAACTGCTGGACGGATTTCGATAATTCTTTCACCATTAGAATGCTACATTATCCCTGAGTAACATAGGCTATATTTTTTATATCCCAAAATGTTTAAAATAAATGTCCACCCGTACGAAGCCGGGACGGGCCGCTAGTTACAAATAAATGTAAGAAAATAAACATTTGACGCAAAATTGAAAAAGTTAGAAAATTTATTTTTTGAAAATTACAAGCTACATGCAAAAGTGTGATCAATTTAAGTTTTGTGCAGGACGCATTATTTTTTTATCGGTTTATGTAGACGATATCCCATGTCTCTCCTCCAGTGGTTAGTAATTTTGTAATACATCAAATTTTATTTGGTTTTCTTACTCGGTTTGAAACGAGGTTTGGAACGAATACAATTGATATTTCTTTACACACAAGGTACGCACGCAACAAATTATCTTTTATTTTGTAAAGATATGTCACTCCTCGAAGTATGTTCATTTAAAACTTGCATCGCCCTATTTTACTAAACATATTGACATCCGCTCACAAATAAAAAAGTACGAAGAGTAAATATTTCTTTTAAATACAAATGAAATTTTATACCTATTCATCGAAATTCAAAAGTTACCTAATCTCATAACTTATCTAGAATACACCCGTTACAATGATTAGGATAGCATTGGTTCCAAGTAGTACGTATCTCTTCGTTAAATAAAAGATATTAATTGTGCCAATACAATGAAATTTATTAAAAGTCGCGTAAAAACGCGTGAAATAATAGGAAGGCAGATTTGTCTCCTCGAGGGCTCGCCGCGACACACGCGTTTTCCATAATGAATGGTCTATCAAACCATGAAAAAAACCTATTTCGTTGCATTTAATTTTTTTAGTAAACGGAAACAATTACAAAACTTTTCTCATTAGTGTCGTCTACCAATGCGCAGGAAAATAATATTTTTATTTCTATATCATAAAAATAAATTTTATTAATAGTTCTTTAAAATGAGCCATCGTTTATTGAAATCGATTAAGGCATTTAGAAGTTATGACAATTTAAAAATTTCAAGATAGCGTCCTTCATACTGACGTTGCTATGGTAATAACAAAAAAAGTTCACACAAAACTTGTGAAGGGTTTAACAGTGTATCTAAAAATTGTATTTGCAACTTAGGTTATATAAGCAAAATTTCGAAAAACCGACAATTTTCTGTAACACTATAGCAGTTGCGCACCCTAGCGGTGAAGTTACAAACTTGAAAATATTTTAAATCAATTTCTTTTGGTCGTATTTGTTACTAGAATTTTTACCTCATAATCTTAGCACGTCTAGTTTACTATATACAGCCGCTCGATATCGTTAATGGATCACCCTATATACAGGGTGATTCAAAAAACCGCTGACAGACTTCTAGGGTAGATAATACATAAATAATTAAGACGAAAGTTTGAATAAACATAAGGTCGCAAATGCCTCCTTAACGAGATACAGGGCGTCAAAGTTTCTGTAAAATTAAACATTGTCTGCAATAATTCCAAAATGCCTGAACATTTCTATTTCAAATTGGCTATGCGTAGTTAGCACCTTAAGACCAATGTTTGATATACAGCTAAAAATTTTACGAGCAGCAGTGTCGTAGAGACGGGGTCAACGTGACCCTTTTTTAAAAATATTTTCTACGCCACTGCTAATTTTGTAAACGGGCACTATTTTCGTGTAAATTTTAAGGAATCCGCTGACAGACTTCTAGGGTAAGTAATACCTGAAAAATTAAGACGAAAAGTCTTAATAAACATAGGGTCGCAAATGCCTCCTTAACGAGATACAGGGTGTTAAAGTTTCTGTAAAATTAAAGCGTAAAATGACAAAAATAAGCTTATAATCTAGTTTACTTAACTCACTTGTACACAATGACATTAGTAACAGGCGATGTTTAATTTTATTTTGAATAGCACAAGCCTACTATGCGAAACTAAAATGAATGAAAATAAAATTGGATTTACAAATTTTCTACAAAGGTATTTCTCTTAAAAATGGTTGCTTTAATCCAAATTTTGCAAGCGATAGACAATTGAACACTTTACACGAAACCCTTTTGACAAAATTAGCAGTGGCGTGGAAAATATTTTTAAAAAAGGGTCACGTTGACCCCGTCTCTACGACACTGCTGCTCATAAAATTTTGAGCAGTACATCAAACATTGGTCTTAAGGTGCTAACTAAGCATAGCCAATTTGAAATAGAAATGTTCAGGCATTTTGGAATTATTGCAGACAATGTTTAATTTTACAGAGACTTTGACGCCCTGTATCTCGTTTAGGAGGCATTTGCGACCTTATGTTTATTCAAACTTTCGTCTTAATTTTTTATGTATTATCTACCCTAGAAGTCTGTCAGCGGTTTTTTGAATCACCCTGTATATAGGGTGATCCATTAACGATATCGAGCGGCTGTATATAGTAAACTAGACGCGCTAAGATTATGAGGTAAAAAATCTATTAACAAATACTACCAAAAGAAATTGATTTAAAATATTTTCAAGTTTGTAACTTCACCGCTAGGGTGCGCAACTGCTAGTGTTACAGAAAATTGTCGGTTTTTCGAAATTTCGACTTTTCGTCTTAATTTTTTATGTATTATCTGTACAGTGGTATGTGACCTTTGTTGTTATTTTTTTTTATAATAATACTAATTAACAGTTTAAAAATTTTTGGTAGAGTTTCCCCGATGTCCGTATAAGTATTAAGGGAACAAAAACTTTAATATTTTTTCACTTTTTTCCTCCTTATCTGATATTCGTACCTAAAAGACAGGCGACATTGTTCATTTTGTTTGATTTCGGCTCTAGTCT